GCAGCATGGAACGTCACAGAGTCTAGCTGCAGGCCGAGATAGATCATGCGCTGAGCCGGCTGCAGCCTGCTCTTTTCCCTGTTCACCACAAAGCCCAGACGCTGTATGTGGGAAAGGACCCAGTGCGTGTGACTCACGGCCACTTCCCTGGACGAGGCCAGTATTAACCAATCGTCTATATCCTTACCCCCGCGCGTCTGAGCGGCTCCAGTGCCGCCTGCACGCACTTTGAGAAAGTCCGAGGCGCGAGCGCGTAACCGAAGGGGAGACGGCAGTACTCGTAACTCCTCTCTCCCACGCAAAGCGCAGGAACCTCCTGTGTTCCGGAACTATCGCCACCTGAAAATAAGCGTCTGTCAGGTCTATGGAGGACATCCAATCTCCCTGTCTGACACACTCCAGGAGCTGTTTCGTGTACAGCATCCGAAACTGACGCTTGGAAATGCACACCCTGCTCTGGGGGCTGCAGGCAACGTCATGGGCTCGGGAAGTAACACAAGCAGACGCATTACACATGTTACGTACCCCCAAATGAGACTCAGAGAACGAGTACTGATGAAATGCCGAACGGCCTTTATTAGCATAAGTTTTGCCACCCCGGCCTCCTCTACTGTAGGGAGGCCGGCGGTGGGTGCGCTGCTCCCTCGGGCTTCCCGTGGGTCTGTCCGGACCCAGGGGTCTCGTCGAAGGGGGACGATGGATGGTGGAGCGTGGGTAGGGAGCGAAGCGCCTCCTGGGCGAGCACTCTCTGCCTCTGTCCAGGCTCCGTGCAGCTTGGTGGGCCTCGCACCTCGGAGCTAGGTGAGGTGCTAGCCTAGCCGAGTCCTTGGCCGCAGACTCCAGTCTGTCCACCAGGGCCTGCATGTCATGGCCGAAGAGGGACGTCTGGGACACGGGCAGGTCCAACAGTTGCCTCTTCTCCGCCTCCCTGATGTTTGCTAGCCCAAGCCAGAGGTGCCTGGCCCCGACTTGGGCTGCAGCCAAGGTGTGGCCACCATCCACGGCAAAGGCCTGGCTCATGCGCAGGAGAGCCGCGGAGGTGGTCCTCGTCTCTGTCAGGAGGTCTCCGCTGAGCGCCTGGCCAGCGGAGAGCAACCTATCCAGGGCCCCCGTGATAAAGGCCATGTTGTTAGCCAGGGCGACGACCTGAGCCGCGTTGGCATAACACCTGTCCAGCATAGCCAAAGACATCCTGTCCCGCTTGGAGGGAAGGAGAGGTCTGGCGCCGGGCCACGCGGATGCGGAGGGCAGCAGAGCCATGCGGACTGAGTCCTCGATGTCCGGGACACCACCGGCCCAGGACCAGTCCTGCACGCTGCAGTACATGCCGTACCCCAGAGCAGGCCTCTTGGCTGCTAGGGGCTTTGGCCACTCACGTGTCGCGTAATGGAGGATCGGGTCCATTTGCGGGCACAACGTGGGTTGCTTCCTCCTCCTCCCTTGAGTGGTGGCGCCCATCGAGGTGAAGTCCTCCACCGCCTGGTCTGGCTGTGGTGGTAGAGGAGCGTTCATCATGGCCGCCGCGGAGGAGTAGAGACTGGGCATGTGATCCAGTGGGAACCGGTCCGGCACCGTGTCTTGCTGGAGTTCTCGAACGCACGCCTGCGCTCACTCTCCTCTCTGGGGAGAGCGAGACACGAGGCGCAGCTAGCGCTCTCCGCCGCATGGCCCGAGCCCAGGCACAAGAAACAGCGTGAATGCTGGTCCGTGTGCGGGAGCCTGACTCGACACTCCAAGCCACGACGACGTCCGACGCCGGAGGGCGAAGGGGAAATCGGACGAGCTGTCGAGGCAGACATCTCAGCAGACAAAGTAGATGTAGTAGATGTAAGTATGATCTCTATCGGCACCAGAGTGAAAGAGGGGGCAGGGGCTTTTATAGAGGAGGGTCGCTAGTGATTGGAGCATATTTATATATATTTGATCTCTCTGGCGTGTGACCTGGGGGTCACGTGATATCCCACTAGCGAAGTCCTAAGGGACGTAGCACCATGACGTAGAACCACAATTGTTTTGACTTATTTCAGCAATGTTTTGTTTGAATTTATATTTGTGTAACTATTTGTTTGTAATTTGAAGATAATTAGCATGTATTTAGTAAAGTTAGTCTTGTTTGAATTTAGTGAGTGCAGAGAGAGTATGGTAGGAACTGAAGTCCATCTCAGATGTAGTAAGGGGGGCCGAATTGACCGTGACCCTCAGACACAATCTGCAAGGGTAACGAGTGCTGAGTTATTACTCTCTGAGACTTTTCTTAATTACCTACAGGTGTGTATTTGGACCAGAAACGCCACAAATTGAAACCTCCACACTTGAGAGTACCTGTGATAGTAATATTGAATATTTACATTAATTGTGTAATTTTTATGAGCGGTTTTGTATGTGTGACTGCCGAACGAGCTAGCGGTGCTAATGCTAGCGGCAGAGTCTTGTTAGTTTTTTTCGCTGCACTCCTTAACCAGCATTATGCTGGGTTCACATCAAACGCGTTTTGGGCGTCAAATTGTGGCAGACGCTGTCACAGAGCATCTTGGAGGCGCGTCACACGCGTCCAAGACACTAGAGGGCAGCGTTCTGGAAGCGCGTCAGGGAAGAGCGTTTTGGGGCAGGCCTGCTCTGTTGCCAACCAGTGGGGGCGGGTCCCGGCTCAAAAGTGGCGAAAATGACGTGCGCTGGCATGCTTGCAATACCACCCCGGGCCGATGGGGGTGGACCCAGAAGTAGAATTAGCTAACATATGGCATTGGCAGACCCCTCGAAAACGTCTTTAAAGGATGGTCCAAAAGCTGGCTCTTGGCCCAAAGCTCTGTTCCACATGTGTGTCAATGCTGAGGGGGGTGAATTTTTTTGGACCACTCTAGTTTACTTGCCGTGAATTTTCTCACTAACCCTCCTCCATGTCATGGTGGTTATAGTCCGCGGGGCTAATGGGCTAACAGCACAGCTTGCCCTCATAGCTGTTGTGTTGTCTTCCTGTCTTCCCCCTCGGTCCTGCCGTGAAATGCGTCACTGGGTCACTGTTGGAGACAGCTCCTGATTGGTCGACGCTTGCGTCTTCTCCCAAAAATTTCAACAATGTTCAACTCGAGCGTCGGCCGCGTTGGAGGCTCGGGCAAAACGCTTGAAATCTCAAAACGCACCGCACCAGAAACGTGAAACGCTCAAAAATGCGCTGCTCGGGAGGCGCGAGACGCGCCGCGGGATCTCTTGACGCTCCTAGAAGCGCATCCCCCATGTATTTTCAATGTAAACCCGACGCTTTGGACGCTCAAGACTGAAGCATGGATCATCCATCCATCCATCCATCCATTTCTGGGTCAGGGGGGTGACAGTCAGAGATGCCACCCAAGTCTCATAGCACCAGCCCCTCACTGATCCTCTGCAGGTGGTGAGTCCACAGGAGGACGGCTGCTCTCTGAGTGTGAGCATAGCCTTGATCTTTCAGTGGGGGCTTTGGGCAAAGTGGGGTTAAGTGTCTTGCCCAAGGACACAACGACAGCAGTCATCAGTAGGGGTCGGTGGAGAAGGTGCAGAGGTGGGAATTGAACCCACAACCTTCTGGCCTTAAGGCCAATGCTCTACCAACTGAGCTACTGTCGCCCCTGGATTATACTACCTTAAAAAAAGCATGGATCATACTACCTTAAAAACCGTTCGCTGCGTGTTCGCTGCTGAGATGCTCACAGCAGCGAACACCCTCGCTCCACATCAGAGAGCAGGAAAGTGATCGTAGGGACTCACGTTCGAAAACAACCAAACCTGGACTAAACCAGGGCTGAGGACAGGGTTCAGTGCTTGTAAACATACGTCTTTACCCTGAGTGTCTTCAATGACTGTAAAGAACGCAGGACTGGACGTAAGAGACGCACATGCTTGGAATGTTACGAATGTGATTGATAACCCACATGCGGTTATGTGTGGATGCTAATTATTTTATAAACGGAGGAGGGGAAATAATCGGATTTAAAAAAAACAGGCATGGCACATGGACATGGCACCACAGTCAAATGACATCTGCGTTTTACTCAGTAATGTTTTACTGAGCACGCGCAAACAACTATGCATCCCTGGCTGATTCAATTCAGTGCAAGTCATCCCGAGTAAACTCGGGTATTGACAAAAAATGTACATAGTTAATTGTGTTGTATTGTGCTATATTGGCTCATGCGGTTTTGCATGTACATAAACATGATAGATATAGAGAATCCTCAATATTTTTTGAAATAAATATATTTTTTTTGCATTTTTGTAGTAGGTAGATCATTTTGACTTGATCATTTTATAAGTAACTCGCATGCTGAAAAAGTGTGAGCACCCCTGGTGTAATGCTAAGGTTAATTTGTAAAGTGTCCAATATGTAAAAGTAGCTTAGTTGTATTACATTTGAGAATATAGCAAGAGTTTCAAATGTAATATTGTGTATAATGTGAATATGTGAATTTTTTATGTGAGTCATTAATAAGAGACACAATCTGCAAGTGTAACGAGTGCTGAGTCATTCCTCTCTGAGACTTTTCTTATTTACTTACAGATTGTGTGTCAAGTATTTTTGTTCATGTGGTCTCAACTTCAGCTTGGGACCCGTAACAAATGTTCTCTGTGGCCCTGATCTCCTCCTCAGACTGTTCCAGAGACGGGGGCCGTAGTGCTGGCAAGATGCCTCACAGTGAGTGTGTGTCCTGACTTTGGAATAGTTTGGAGTCTGCTGCTGGAGGAGCGCAGGGGCCAGGAAGGTTCATCAGTGTTGTGTGTAATAAGTGTTGGGTGTCACAAGTGTTGTGTGTAGTAAGTGTTGCGTAATAAGTGTTACATAAACCTGTGTGAACGGCGGATAAATAACATCTGTTCTGATGTAGAAATGTAAATGAGATAAAACCTTCTTATCTACAACAGTGTCCTTGGTCATGAGCAGTCAGAAGGTATAAAACCAGCAGCAGCCCACACCTCACACCTCCACAGACCTCCTCACACCGCCATAGACCTCACTCCTCCAGTGGACCATGGACACGGCTGGTTTCCTGGTGCTGCTGCTGAGTTCTTCTTTTCTCTTTGAGGGGAATTGTTTGGATGATTCTGGACAAAAGTCTGAGTCTTCTGAGCTCTGTCCGTCTGACATAGACTCAGTGTTGAGACAGATGAGCGCTGCGCTGTCTGCACAGCAGGTGGAGATCAGACATCTGCAGGAGGAAAACAAACATCTGCAGGAGGAAAACCAGGGGAACAAAGTGGAGATCAACCATCTGCAGGAGGAAACCCAGGGTAAATATATTTTGAATCATGTGTTGAACATAATTTAATGGCAGCCATGAATAAGTTGTGTTTGTGTTTTAAGTTTATGCATGGACCTATTTAACCAGAAAAGTCTCACTGAGGTTTCAGAATATAATTTTAGGGGGAGTCCTGGCCCCAACTTGCAGACACCAGTGTTTTTCTATTTACAGATGAAAATAAAAAATAAAAAAATGACCGGTGTATGCAAGTAAAGTGTGCAAGAGTTGTTTTTCTTCCTTTTGAAGTTGGCAAAGCTGTGTGCGGAGCCTGCTCCTGTCAGAGTCAGATGTGCCATTGCACTTTGACATGATTAAAGACGCAGACTGTGCTTTTCAGCTCTGACAGTTTGATTTCCACTACAGCCACGAGGACAGTGGTGGACTCCCTCCAAACAGAAGTGGACTCCCTCCAAAACAACGACAAAGGTTTGTTGATATTAAGTGTTGTTCAGACCTAGAGGTGTTGGCTCTAATGGCGCGTTCACACCGGACTTAACTTCGGCGTCAAAAGCGTCAGGTTTGCATTGAAAGTGAATGGTGAAGCGCGTCAGGTGAAGCCGAGGGGCCCGGCGTCACTTGGCGCGCGTCAAAAGCTTCAAAGGTCGCGCGTAATACGCGCTCACTTGAAGCTTTTGACGCGCGAATCGCTCGCGTATCACAACAATCCCTTTGACGCCGAAGCTGAGCAAAGCTTAAGGCGCGTTCAGACCAAAAGCTTCAAAAAGCTTTTGACGCGCTTCAACTGACGCCGGGATAGTTTTGTCATTTTGGTGCTTGAAGCTTTTGACGCGAGTGACGCGCCTGACGCCGGTGGGAGGAGCTTCTCTGTTGTCTGTTGTCAGGACAGCGGTGGATTTTTCAATGAGCAGCGAGCCTTTATTTGTTATATAAAGCAAAATAACGTTGTTGTAGGGCTTCAACAAAACATGTTCTGGGTTCACCACAGACTTGAGAGGCTGCAGTGTTTGCAGAGTTCCGTCATTTACTCCAGGAGCTGCGTACGGAGGAGTTTCGCTTTCAGCGGTACTTCCGCATGTCACTTGCCCAGTCTGAGTTCTCAAACCCCGGCTCTCGCCTCTCCCTGCCTCTCCCTGCCTCTCCCTGCCTCTCCTCGGTTCTCGCTCACCTCTCCCTGCCTCTCCCTGCCTCTCCCTGCCTCTCCTCGGTTCTCGCTCGCCTCTCCCCGCCTCTCCCTGCCTCTCCCCGGCTCTCGCCCGCCCGGAGCTGCCTTGCTCTGAGCCAGACTCATCGTCAGCCTGTTCTTATTTTAAATAAACTACGTTTACTACACAGCATGTGTACAATGATTTTGTTACTCAGAACGTTACTACTCATACAAATAATATTACTAATAACAATAATGACAATAAAACAGCAGCAGCATGACTTCTCTTCATGACAGAGACAGACCCTCTGCTGCTGCTGCTCCTCGTCTCCTGATTGGTTGAAGCCCGCGTCAAAGCTTCAAAAGCTCAGCTTTGCTCAGCTTCGGCGTCAGAGGGATTGTTGTGATACGCGAGCGTTTCGCGCGTCAAAAGCTTCAAGTGAGCGCGTATTACGCGCGACTCTTGAAGCTTTTGACGCGCGTCAAGTGACGCCGGGGCTCTCGGCTTCACCTGACGCGCTTCACCATTCACTTTCAATGGAAACCTGACGCTTTTGACGCCGAAGTTAAGTCCGGTGTGAACGCCCCTTGAGCTTTTGAAGCTTTGACGCGGGCTTCAACCAATCAGGAGACAGGGTCGCTCTACGATGAAGCCGGTGGAAGCGGGAAACAAAATCATATTCGAGAACATGGAGGAGAGCTTAATCGTGGCGATTAGCTCTCGCCCAGAGCTTTACGCTGTTTCCAGCCCGCTATACAGGGACAGGAATAGAAAGGACCTTGCTTGGAGGAGGAGATCGGGTACGATGGTAAGTTATGTAAAGAATTCATATCTGTATTCCATGTTTAGTAAACTCCGGTCAGGAGTCGTACAATGTACAGTCGCTATGATTTCTGTTCCCGCTCACAAGTCCATTTGTTCATATAGAGAAAGAAATCAAAAAGAGGTGGAAAAGCCTGAGGGACAGGTTCATGAGGGAGTGCAGGAAGGAGAAAGAGAGGAGGCGCAGTGGTGCAGCAGCAGGGACAGTGCAGAGGTGGAGGTACTTGGCATCGCTCTCCTTCCTCGAGCCCTACGTAACACCGAGGCCATCTACTGGTAACATGACAGCACACAGGGCCGAGGAGGAGAGGGGGTACGACCACCTCCGAGAGGAAGAACCAGCAGCAGCGGAGGTGTCAGTTGCAGGAGGTCTGTAGCTAAAACAATGTATTGAATGAAGTCATGCAGCTGCCCACTAAACTGTTTTGTTGTCATTGTTTATAGCAAGGTTATTTATGAGTATTAACGTTCTTAATAAGCAACTGGCAAAATAAATGTACATATGCTGTAAACTAATGTCAGATGTAGGTGTGTAGCTAAAACAATGTATGGAAAGAAGTCATGCAGCTGCCCACTAAACTGTTTTGTTGTCATTATTGTTTATAGCAAGGTTATTTATATGAGTATTAACGTTCTTAAAATGATTGTACACGTGCTGTGAAGTGAAAGTAATTTATTTAATAACAGATGACGCTGATACGGAGTCAAGTTCAGAGACAGAGCCGAGTGCTGGACCGTCCTCGGCCTCTGGACCGTTCTCGGCTCCTGGACCGTCCTCGGCTCCTGGACCGTCCTCGGCTCCTGGACCGTCCTCGGCTCCTGGACCGTCCTCTGCTGCTGGTTCTTCCTCTGCTGCTGGTTCTTCCTCTGCTGCCGGTCGTTCCCCTGCTGCTGCACCTACAGGTGTGTAGGAAATCAATTTTATTGTTGTGAAAGTATAAACGTTATATTAAACATTTCACAAATACTTTTGAATATGTGGGCATCAAAAAGTGAAATATACAAATCGAATACTGTTTTTACATAGGATCTAGTTATTTTATTTAACATAAGAAAAGGATTTAAAAGTTGTTCATAGATTATCAGATCCTACATACTCATGACTTTATATTTTTAGAGCCATTGTCTTGTGGTGTTTGCAGGTCCACAAAGGAAGAGAGCGAGGAAGCGCACCACCCAGGACACCTCCGCCCAGGAGCTATCGCGCTTGGAGCTGGAGCTGATGGCCCTCCTGCGGCAGACTGCAGCTCCAGCTCCATCACGAAATGAGCTCTTCCTCCAATCTCTGCTTCCTCTCCTGGATAAGGTGCCACCTCAATCTTTAGAATTTGTCAAATTCCAAATTCATAAATTACTTTATGAGAGCAGCGCATTTACGCTTAATGTGGAACAATTGGAGCACACTTAGTAGTAGTGTTTAGCTATGAGGTGGCTTCTTTTGCAGGGGAGGAAACAGACTCTTCTCCTTCCTGCACTCCTCCTCCAAGCAAGGTCCTTTTTATTCCTGTTCCTGTTCTTTTTTGTGTATATATTTGTTTTTACATATTTCATTAAAAAATGTATAACTTAAGATTTGGTCTGCTACTTTAAATATGTACAGGTTTTTCATTAAGGTATGTGTTCAAATAAGTTAAATATCACTAATTTCAAATACTTCAATTAAGGAGAACTTTACTCGTAAACACGTTATCACCAAATATGAGACAATAGAAATTATAATAGAAATAGTTGACATAATTAATTTCAGCATATCCTGTTTGGACAAACTTGTAATTGAGGCCATGCTTGAACATGTTGTGAAGTCGGAGACAGCTGCAGAATCTGGAACTATTACCTGCAAACAAGAAGGGCACAGGTGAATGGTTAAAAAACATACTGGATAAACATAGACATGGTCTTTATCCAAGACTAGAATTCATGATCAGGATGTTGTAGTATTTGTGTCCCGATATTCAAAAGTAATGCATTGGCAAATACAGACACTCAAATATTATTAAAGAAGAAATGCTCTTTAGTTTTCATGGGTGGCTCTTAAAAGAACCGTTTTGGGTCAGTCCCGTGAGGATCTGACTACTCTGTCGGCTGCCATGCTACTGCCCCCTCCTCACAGAAGTGGGCCATGAACGCCTCCCTCGCCTGCAGTGCCTCTCTGGTGGCGTTGTTGGCACCCATCCTCCCGACACCTGGAAGACAGTCATCTCCCTGCGCTGCAGCTCGTCTCAGGACTGGGACCGGAGCAGACACCCTCAGGAAATTGTGGAGAACACATGTGGCCTTCACGCACTTCTCCACAACTTCTGGCCGGATCTCGAGGTCCCGACGAAACATCCTCCACTGCGATGACCAAATGCCAAACGCATCCTCCACCACCAGCCGGGCTCGGGAGAGGCGGTAATTAAAAATGCGCTGTCCAGGGTTAGCGCCGCCACTTCCTGGAAAAGGCCGCATTAAGTTCCTCCGCAGTGGGAAGGCCTCATCTGCCACAAAGACATGGGGCAGGGGGCCTCGGTGCTCTGCTCCAGGGAGATGCCGGTCAGCTGGCAGAGGAAGTGTTCCCGCATGCAGAGCCTGACCGAAGGTGGAGTTGGCCAGGATCCCTCCATCGCTGGTTCTGCCATAGCCCCCTACGTCAATCACCCTGAACTTGTAGTTGGCATCTACAATAGCAAGGAGGACCAAGGAGTGCCTACCCTTGTAGTTGAAGTACAGGGAGCCTGAGTTGGGGGGTGCCTTGAGGTTGATGTGCTTCCCATCTATAGCACCACAACAAAGAGGGAAGTTCCACCGCTCCTCAAACTCCATAGCAGACAACCTCCACTCCTCTTCTCCAGGCACAGGCATGAACTCCTCCACCAGGCCGTCCCAGATGGCTGCCACCACATCTGGGATGATGCTGGAGATGGTGGAGATGCCCACCCTGAAGCTGCTTGCTATGGTCCTGAAGGAGTCCCCAGTAGCAAGAAACCTACAATGATACAAATACAACTCAGCAATATACAAAAATATTTTAAATTAATCATACAATATGATTGTGTAAATTTGTTTTCAGGAATTGCACCAACAATGGAAATGTACCCTCTCTTGTGAAATCACAGGGGGGTTAATCACTTGGGAATCTGAATATATTAAGTACTAAGTAGCAGACAATGCTGATTTAATTGATCAGTTTTCTAATAACTTCACTACAGTGACACAATGCACCTTCCAAATGACTTCAAATGCACAAACGAGGGCCATAGCAAATATATCATTTGTATTAATGATTACTCTAAATACAATCGTTATAACAGAGAAGGTCTGTAACAAAAGCCTCCTTGGGTTCACGGGTGTTCAGCGCCGCTCAACACCCGTGGTTAGCCGGTTAGCATTGGAGCTCCGCGCTGGAGGGAAAAAGTCAGACAAAAATTTAAATATCTATTTAATCACCAAACAGACCTCTGATATGACATTAGTGGGGTATATTTCCCGCCTGAAATGTTATTACAATTAACTTTTATGTCCTAATTAAAACGTATATTCAACGTTTAACTACTGCTTTTGGCTGCTCCTATCTCTCGGGCCGTGATCCATGCTAGGGACGCTATTTCCTATTGTATTTTTAGATATTTTATCAGAAAATTCTCACTAACCTCAGACAGATAGACAGGCGCTCTTCCGCTGGAATCGAGCGCCTGTAGTTGGTGTCCATGCGGGCGATGCGAGCTCCGATGCGGGTGAGCAGGTCATCAAACTGGGCTACTGACATTCGGAAGTACCGCTGAAAGCGAGCCTCGTCCATACGCAGCTCCTGGAGTAAATGGTGAAACTCACCAAACACTGCACGCCTCTGAAGTATGCTGTGAACCCATACACGTTGTGTAGAAGCCCTACGACGACGTTGTATGGATTTTACCAACAAATAAAGGCAAGCTGCTCTTCGGAAATCCGCCATCTTCTCTGGACTACACCGGCAACAGAGAAGCTCCTCCCACCAGCGTCAGGCGCGTCAGTCGCGTCACTCGCGTCAAAAGCTTCAAGCACCAAAATGACAAAAATAACCCGGCGTCAGCTGACGCGCGTCAAAAGCTTTTTGAAGCTTTTGGTCTGAACGCGCCATAACTCTGTCTGTGTGGAACTAACTCTGTCTGTGTGGAATCAGCTCAAGAGGCTTTACTTTAGTCTCCTTTAGTGTCCTTTAGCCTCCTTTAGTCTCCTTTACTTTAGTCTCCTTTACTTTAGTCTACTTTAGTCTCCTTTTGTCTCCTTTAGCGTCCTTTAGCCTCCTTTACTCTCCTTTATTCTCCTTTAGCCTCCTTTAGTCTTCTTTAGTCATCTTTAGTCTCCTTTACTTTAGTCTCCTTTAGCCTCCTTTAGTCTGCTTTGGTCTCCTTTACTTTAGACTGCATTAGTCTCCTTTAGCCTCCTTTACTTTAGTCTCCTTTAGTCTCCTTTAGCCTCCTTTAGTCTGCTTAAGTCTCCTTTATTTTGGTCTGCTTTAGTCTCCTTTAGCCTTCTTTAGCCTCCTTTAGTCTTCTTTAGTCATCTTTAGTCTCCTTTACTTTAGTCTCCTTTAGCCTCCTTTAGTCTGCTTTAGTCTCCTTTACTTTAGTCTCCTTTACTTTACTTTTTTCTCCTTTAGCCTTCTTTAGTCTGCTTAAGTCTCCTTTAGTCTCCTTTATTTTGGTCTGCTTTAGTCTCCTTTATTTTAGTCTCCTTTAGTCTTCCCTCTTCCTTCTCAGAAGGGGAGGGAGAGAGACAGCAGGGAGCAGATCCTGACAGTTCCCCCCCTCAACGGACGCCCCCAGGCGGACAACCAGGCTTACCAGGATGGGCCCGATAGAAATCATTGATGAGGCCAGCGTCCAAAATCAGAGCTCGAGAAACCCACGACCGCTCCTCTGGACCATAGCCCTCCCAGTCCACCAGAAACTGGAAGCTCCGCCCACGCGGGCGCACATCCAGATGTAAGGTTAAATAAGGGACACAGGGCCAGACAACAGCCAGGCCCTGGACTGTGTAAACACTTGATCAAAAGGGGGGAAGACATCTTACCGCGGCCTCAAAGGAACCGTGGGGTCAACCGTAGGACTGCCATTGATCATGGGGATTACAGGCGTCAAACGGAGCAATAAAGTCCCCACAGGAATAAACATCTTGGTCCCTGTCTGTCTGTAGAGATCAAAAGGTCGCGACTCTGTTCTCCCTCTCTGGACATTCCTGTCCCTGGACAATGAATGACTCACCCACGGCGTTCTGGCGCCCCCCAGTGGACACTGAACACTTTCACACCCGGGACGGACATTTTAAACCCACACTCCTGGACTCAGTTATTCCGATAAAGTCTGTACCGTACCCTACACGTGTGTATCATTGTCAAGTAATGTAAATGCGGTGTGTGTCTGTACATGTGTTATGAATGTTGGTATTAATCCTGTATCTGATTGTGGATGTCTACATGATGTGTTTTGCCTTGGGACATGGGGTCCACAAAGGCGCACAGGGATGACGTCACGGACGCGCCCCCCTTGAACACAACAAAACCAGACCGCAAACCCACAGACTTTCTCTTGTCTTCCCCTGAAATCACTATCGCAGCTCTCCTGCCCTTCGCGTCTCGCGGTACGTGTCTCCTACTACGGCCGCGCCTGCACGCATTGGGCCTTCCACTCCGCGAGCACAGCCCTCCTTCCTGGCTCGGGATCTTATGAACTGTTCCATCATCAGCCTCTTTTCCTGGCTCTGGACCCTACGCACGCAACTCATTCCGGACTGAGTTGTATATGCGTGGATCAAAAGTTGGACTAGATTCGCTGGCTTCGTATCTCCCGCCTGCCCGGACAAAGGAACCACGTGGGCTGATTCTCCATTCCAAATCCTTTCTTCACCCCTCTACGCTCCTCAAAGTAAGACTGTTCCTTGTTGGAAGTGTGATTCAAATGATATGCATAACATGTGACCAGAAAACCCTTTTCGTATTTTCTATTTTCATTTTTGTAGTCAATAAAACCCCGTTATCTTTAAATCAATCATATCAGCGTCGTGTTTTTAAATCTTGGGTATCTCTGGCTGATATACGCATTCACTACCTATTAGATTATAAGACTGATTCGAGGCAAATTAGTTGGATCTGTGCAGAAGTTTTCAAACTCTGCTGGTGCCCAAAATAAAAGCAGATCCCCCACTCGTGGAGTACGGCCAGGCTCTGATTTAGAGGCTAGCCGCACTACACTATTCTTCTCTTATACATTTAATTGTTACCCTACACAGAATACGCCGAATCGTGTAGGCAGGGAAATCATCCACGAGCAGGGGGGCGGAGGGGGATTGGCTGGAGGGCACAGAGAACTGGAAATGACAGGTTTAGGCTGAGAAACATGAAAACTGGGATGTATTCTGATTGTGGGAGGCAGCTTCAACCGGACCACAGTTGGATTTATAATCTTCTCAATCACAAACGGGCCAATATACCGTGGAGAAAGTTTTTTAGAATCTGTCTTAAGCGGTATATCCCTTGAAGAAAGCCAAACTTTCTGACCTGGTTCATAGTTAGGAGCCGGCTTCCGGTGTTGGTCAGCGATTCGTCAATTCTGCTCTGCAGTGCGGAGTAAAGAGGGGCGCACACACTTCCAAATTTCACGACAGCGTTGTAAATGTTCTTTCACTGACGGGACGGCAATGTCCCTCTCCTGCTCAGGGAACAAGGGTGGAAGATATCCAAGTGAGCGCTCAAAAGGAGACATACCAGTGGCAGAGGATGGGTGCGAGTTATGGGCATACTCCACCCAAGGTACAGTGGGGCAAAGAAGTATTTAGTCAGCCAATTGTGCAAGTTCTTCCACTTAAAATAATGTAATTTTCATCATAGGTACCTTCAACTGTGAGAGAGGGCGAGGGCCGTTCGACGCCGCTTGCGGCTTTAATTATAAGTTGCGTTTCCATTCCATTGAATAATGCGCAAAACTTTTTTGATACATTGCAACATTCGAAAAAGCGGCCGTTTCCATTAATACATATTTGAATAAGGATACACTATTTTTGCGCGTTTATTAGTACGTCAACATGGCAACAGAAGTAAACAACACTTTGATTTACGTGATATATATTAATATCTTGTCTTCTGCGGTGGCTCTCATCATTAACTGGATTAAGCGTCGGTGGCATCTCCTTGTGAGTGTAATGGAGCGGCGTTCTCCGTATACTTGGGAGAGGATGCGGATGAGAACCTTTTGGGAAGTCGTGGTACATGAATTCACAGGGGAACTACAGTAGGTCCCATTTCGTTTTGTCGCCTTTCACGCGTGAATCACACGAGACTCACGTGTGATTCACGCGTCTTTTATTTATTTTTTCCCCAGTGATGCTGCAATGACCCAAACAACCACCAGGTGGCACTTGTGAGCAGGGTTAGGAAAATTGGCTTCTCATCGGTCTTTGTTCTCTGTTCACCAGGCAACTTTCTGTGACGTTATAGCTCAATGATAAGGAGGTGGACTCTGGTGCGAGAGGACCCGGGTTCAAGTAAAGGCTATGACACTTTTGATTTTGTTGACGTTTACATGTTTTCTAAAACATACTTAGTAATTAGGCCAACACATTTAAAATAGTTGCTAGACTGTAGTAAACTGTTGTAAACTTCACAATATGCACCAACCAAACTGCAGGAAAAAAATGCAACTTTATTCAGTAACGGAGTAATCTGATTCATATACTCCCCCCGCTAATAAAAAATTGAGGATTGGCCGGGGCTCGAACCCCGACCGTCCAAGCGAAAGTCTTGGACAATCCCGCTACACCACACAGGCGCTGGAGAAAACGCCGGATCTAATACCAAAGACCGCTGAGTGAATGAGCCATGCGGATGTGCGGGACGCTTAAAATGCCTTATATGCAAGTTAATGCAAATGTTTGCCATATGATCTGCTACTCCTGTGCATTTTAGAATTCCTAATTAATGGTAGCTATATGTAACATGTGTAGTGTAAATTTTTGTATTGCTAATCAAAGTAAAAGTATTCTAAATACAGTGTACACTCGTGTTTGTTTTGTTCCAATGTTTCATGTTCAATAACGCACTTGCTGCTGGCTATCCCATACTGTAGAACAGGGGTTCCCAAAGTTTTTAGCCCGCGACCCCCATCATAAATGCCCTGCTAACCCGCTTTCTAGAGACTCACGCCACTACCGAGCTGCACTGTCCAGCCCAAAAAAGGAGGCTTGCATATTTTTACTCATGTAGTGAGTGACACAGTGATGGGCTTGGTGGGCTCCCTCCTCAGCAGAAGTGGAGCGCATTTCTTGCGGCTCGCCCTCACTGTTCTCCTACCGCGGTAAAGTGGGCCGGCTTTCCGGAGTCAGCGGTAAAGAGGTCCGCACATTAAAAGCGGGCGGCCGCTTTCTGCTGTTACTTTATGCGGTTCATCCCCGCGGCTTCTCTTTCCAAAGTTACTGTCAGTAAAGGCATAAACCGGCCACCCGCTTTTAATGTGCGGACCTCTTTACCTTTGACTCCGAAAAGCCGGGCCTCTTTAACGCGCTGTTCTACCGCTGTCCTCCCTCCCTCCTTTGCCCTCTCTCCCTCTCTTCGCACCATCAGCCTGAACCCTGATACAAGTGACTTTTCTCCCCCTCCGGGTTTTTCTGTTGTGGATATTAACCACGTTTCATTTTAAAGCAGGTATTATTTATTTGTAGCCTCCAAACACCTTTAGTTTTAGCAAACAACAGCAGGACACGCTTTGTCGCTGAGCATGATGTGAGCTGTGTTAC